ACATCTATAGGAGACCTGTACTGAAATAGAGCCCTTTTTGAAGATAATCTAAGATTAAAATTACAATCGGTGCTTTTGTTGGGAATTTTGAGATTTTTTTGCTATTCATCTATGTACACATTTCCAGAGTCCATAATTATTTTCCTAATCATAATATTACAAATCTGGCGCTATTTGTCCATTACATAGGTGTTGTAGTTTGTACTTGCCAAAAATGAAAGCCGGACAAAAACTAAGAGAGAAGATAGCTTTTGAAATTTGATGAAATTATCCAATATGGTGGATGTCTGCTTGGTTACCATGGTAACCATGTGCTTATAATAATAAATAATTACTTTAATTAATTTTTTGATGTCTGACTAATATGAATATATCATCTTTGCTACATATAGTCAAGGGATATGGATTTTAGAAATTTCACCAGCAGATGGCCTTAAAATCGCTCTTGTAAAACCTTTGCTAAAGAAACAAAACTTAGATCAGAATGTCTTGAAGAACCATAGACCTGTTTCAAATCTACCTTTTTTGTCTAAAATCCTTGAAAAGGTTGTCCTCGAGCAGCTTCGTCATCACTTACAAGAGAACAATCTGTTAGAGCCATTCCAGTCTGCCTGTCGAGCTAACCACATCACAGAAACAGCACTTCTTAAAGTAATTAATGACATGCTTACTGATTGTGATTCAGGAAAAGTTGTTTTGCTGAGCCTTTTAGATCTATCAGCAGCTTTTGATACAATTAACCATTATATTTTATTGAAACGATTGGAAGTGTCTTTTGAATTATCCGGGACTGCCCTTAACTGGTTTTCTTCTTACCTGTCAGATCGTTACCAATCTGTTTTTATTAAAGGGCTTAAGTCATCAGATCATGCTCTTACGTATAGGGTCCTCCAGGGATCAGTCCTTGGTCCAGTTTTGTTCACCATTTATACTCAACCACTTGTCAAGGAAATAGTTAAGTAAGTATGACTTAAAATACCATTTCTATGCTGATCATACCCAAATTTATGGTTCAACATTGTTTACCAACTTAGATGAACTTGTCCATCGTGCTGAAAATTGTATTGCCGTAGTGAAAAACTGGATGAACAAAAATAAATTGATGTTGAAAGATTTATAAAACAGAAGTCATTCTGGCAGGCAATGCAAAGTCTGTTAAAAAGGTTGACCACGATCACATTACAATAGGTGATGCAAAAATTGTATTTTCAAGAAAAGTTAAGAATCTTGGCATCTATTTTGATTCCAGTTTGTCAATGTCGGCTGAGGTAAATTATCTGATCAGCTGCATGTATTTAGAAATAAGAAAAATTAGCAAAATACGTCATCTGATCAATATTAAGTATACTGCTTTACTAGTAACTGGCTTAATTTTATCAAAACTCGATTATTGTAACTCCTTGTGTTATCAGGAATATCACTGGAGAAAGTTAAAAGACTTCAAACTGTCCAAAACAATGCTGCACTTTTACTTTTACGGAAAAGAAAGCGAGATTCTGCTAAACCTCTTTTACGAACTTTGCATTGGCTTCCTGTTGAGAAAAGGATTGTGTACAAGTTGGCCACCCTTTGTCACAAATGTTTGAATGATAATAATCATATTTATCAAATCTGTAAGACTGTACAACATTCCAACTCGCAGTTTAAGGTCATCAGCTGACAAAAAGAAATTTATTTTACCATCTATGAAACTTAAAACAATGGGTGAAAGGGCATATTTGAATACCAAGGCCCCAAGATCTGGAATGCTTTACCAAGTACTTTGAGAGAGATCAAATCTTTTGATTCATTCAAATGTCAGCTGAAGTCGTTTCTGTTTTTAAATTTAAAATTAATAAGATGAATATTTGGAATAATTTTCTTTAGTCAGAACACAACATTTTATGTTACTGTTGTATGTTGTACTGTATTGTAAAGCGCTCAGAGCCTGTGTACTTTATTCAGGGTTGAGCGCTATATAAATGTCATTTATTATTATTTATTAAAAAGAACACATTGAATTAGTTTCAGATTTCGCTCAGATTTTGTTGAGCCGCTCACAGCGGTCGAATGGAGGCAGCGGAAAGGACAGATAGAATCAGTTAAAGCGAAACAAAACTGAGGCATCCATCATAGCCAATATATCGGCTATGCGTCCGCAAGGGGTGTGGACTCGCGCCGATATCGGCAATACGCCCGGTAAGAGTTTTAATAGAGTCCTGTTTTGAGTTTGCGCCTCAAGCTTATGATATGGCATGTGACCAAGCAACAGTGTTATGCACTTAGGCCACCTCTATTCTCACCCCGGGTGAGAATAGTGCAGGCGAGTCTTTTGGCTATTCTCACCCGGTGCGCGTTCACCGTTATAGCCTAGATCTAGGTCAACCAATTTTGCGTTCTCCCTAAACCACAGAATTCTACACTGTGATAACAGAAAAATTGTAGAATTCTGTGCCGTGAATAAACGTTCCATTACTACTGTTAGCCTACTAAAAGCGTACAATTTTGTCTGTGGGCAGTGGAGAGAGAGAAAGAGAGAGAGAGAAAGAGAGAGAGAGAGGAGTAGCGCGAAAACTTCCGGGCAAAACAAAATGGCGACCCGCGTAGTTCGGCTCCATTTGAAAAGTTAAATAGCCGTCCGTAGCATCTTTGTAGATGACCAAATTAATTTACTTTTTTGTGTTTTAACATCATTTTTTAACTTTGTTTTGGTCAATTTGGTGTGTGTGTGTGTGTGTGTGTACGTGTGTGTGTGTGTGTGTGTGTGTGTGTGAGTGTGAGTGTGTGTGTGTGTGTGTGTGTGTTTGGCATACATGTGTGCGTGTTATGTGTTCGTGAGTGTGTATGCGTGTGTTTGTGTGTGTGTATATGTATATGTGTGTGTGTTTGTGTGTATATGAGTGTGTGTGTGTGTCGCGTGCATGAATATTTTTCTTACATGCATTTATGTAAAGCGCCTAGAGCTGTGTTTACACGGGAGTGGGCGCTATAGAAATGATCTTCATTATTATTATTATTATTATAATTTGATTGATCGTCCACACCGATAGACAGTATTCAGAAAGAGACAGAGAGAGAGAAGAGGGAAGGAGTAGATCTTGCGAGAACTTCGGGGCAAAACAAAATGGCGACGCCCGTAGTTCGGCTCGATTCGTAGCTTACTTTTGTGCTATAACGTAATCTTTTCTTAGCCCTTATCCATTTGATCATCCACATCAATAGAAAGTATTCCGAAATTAGGAAAAACAGGTCTTGTTTCACACCGGGTGAGAATAGCCTACAGTGGCAAGTCTCACCCGGGGTGAGAGGTCGATCGTATTTCTATTCTGTTTTTCCGCTGCCTCCGTTCGGCCGCTTTGAGCGGCTCAACGAAATCCGAAACAAAGGTGCACTTTTAACACAGTTCCTACTTTTTAAGTTGTCGAAAGGAAGTAGAACTTGTAAACAAACCTGACCTCAATCTCTGAGCGCCAATATCGATCGAAACTCCGCGAAATTCATGCAAAAATCGTTGTTTTGTTGTTGCGATGTTGGCTAGATCTAAGGGTAAACAACACGGAGCCTGGTATAATAAAAAGGCTCTTCAAAGAAAGATATTCAACTAAATTTGTGAAATCCTTGCATAAATGTGTGCTAGGGTGATATCGCTACAATGTTGTGTTGATTCCTATGGATTATAAGGACTTGTAGAGCTGAGAAAATGCGGTAAGTCGAAATTTTCGAAGGCAAGTGGCTATTCTCCGGCGTCGCACCGGTCAACAGAACGGAAGCAATTCTCCGGCGTCATAACTAGGCCTAGTAAGTCTACCTTTCATTATATTTTATCTATGGTATTATATTTTATCTATGGTAATTGTCTAACATAACTTTATTCCTTTATTTCCATCGTCCATTTGCTTTAACTTTAAAAATAATGATTCTGTTTATTCAAAAGAACAAAATTGATTTTGTGTCTAAAATCCTGTCTAGTCATATAGTACAGTTTGCTGTTTAACTTATTTCTTGTTGTTGTAATTTTCGATCAATTTAATTGATATGTCGCAACTTCAGTGCTTTCTTGTCGTATCTCCATTTTTGTAAACAGTGAAAATGTGACTCCTACTTATGCTCACTCTTTGTTATGAACTCGCGTCAATAGTTGTGAACACGTTTTTTTCTAATTCTAGCACCCAACAGAATTCTAAATTGGAGGAATTGGGGCAGTTTGTGTCTGAAAACCTATCGTCTGTATCAATAGAAGTGGCACTAGGTGGAAAAGTTGTGGAAATTTTTTTTTTCAAGAGATGAGATAGGTATTTGCAAATCTGCGCCGACAAATTATTAGTAATAGACCAGCGGCGCGACGCCGGAGAATAGCTTCTGATCTATTGACCGGCGCGACGCCGGAGAATAGCCACTTGCTTTTCGAAGAGCTGTTGCGCAATTTTTTTTTCTCAATTGTTTTTGTCAGAAGGAAAATATGCAATACAAACAGATTATAGGTCATTGTTATTGATATACAGATTTTTCTATTTATTCCCATCAGTTTGGTATAAGACAATGCATATTAGAGTAACTTAGAGCTTCACAGTAATGCATTAAATAGATGCACCCCAGGTCTAAAACTGAACAGGGGGAAAAATATATATATTTCTGTCCGGAGCCTGAAAAAATCATGGACAGAATCAGTTAAAGTGGTGCAACATACTCAGAAAAGCTGCGCTATGATTTTAAAATAGAAACACTGTAAGCAAGTTACATTAACACTTTTATAATGAAGAGGAGAGTTCAGGTGGGCGTAGCCAGGGCATGATAGAGCAAAATTAACTTTCTTTTTTAATTTTCGAGTTCCTTAGAACAATGAAAATGGAATGGAAACACACACAGCAACTGCTACTTGTTAAATACTCACCAGAAGCAATATCTTTACCCCTCCCCCCCCCCCCAACCTTTTTCCCGTTTTCCAACGTTGGTCACCCACTGACCGGTAACACCCGTGTATTACTATTAGCTTACTACTTTAAAATCAGGAAAAGTCTCACCTTCGCAAGTTTCTTGTCAATATCATGCTTCAGATCAACAATGTCATCCATTTTATGACACGCACAAAAAAGATTTTCTAGGTGTGTAATCAGTCACCCCAGGTACAATTGAGTTGTCGGATCGTAGGCCTACATGAATAATTCAAAGTAATCTGCAGTTGTAATAGCTCGGAGGGTGTAGTATTATTTTTCCTGATACTGATTACTTCCTGTTTACTATCGAAAATACGACTAATGTCGGGGGAGCAGTAATTGTTAATAATGATACATGTAATTTCAATTTTTTTTGTCAAAATAACATGAAAAATGAAAATTATAATAGTAGGTGGATGTGCAATTACAATTTTTTTTTTTATGCTTCAGTCACTCAATAGTTAGCTTAGATCTAGTGTAGGCCTAAGGCGCTTTCAATATGCTGAAGGCGCATCGAAAAACAAACAGTACATGGTTGCGATAAAGATGTTTCTTTGGTGTTAGCCTAGGAAGTTAGCTCAGGAAGTGGTGCGGAACAAAAGTGGACCTCCAGCATCCGTCAACGTTGGCGTTTGTTTGCCAAAATGATTGGACTTTCTTCAGATGATGTTATTTACCTGCTATTTATGGTAATCTCTGTGGCAGCAGGTCCTGTTTTCAGATCTGTTTTAATAGACAAAACGTCAAGAAGATGGGCTTCGGCGTTGATTGGATTCCTGTTGCTAGCTGTTGTGTGCGGACCTCACACCGTGCATCTTGTTATAACGGTTGTTGGCAATTGTGTTCTGTTGAAGCTTTGTCCACCGACAAAGAATGAGAGGTATACACGTCTAATAACATTAACAATGAGTAATCTTTTTAAGTGATAGTTCTATATGTTCATTGTTCAGTTCTGAATTGCTTCCTAGCCTGGCCACCTCTATGGGTGAGAATAGTGCAGGCGGGTCTTGTGGCTATTCTCACCCGGTGCGCGTGTCAACAAATTTTGCGTTCACCCTAAACCACAGAATTCTACACTGTGATAAGAGAAAAATTGTAGATTTCTGTGCTGTGAACAAACGTTCCATTACAACTGTAGCCTACTAAAAGCGTACAATTTTGTCTGTGGGCAGTGGAGTGAGAGAGTGAAAGAGAGAGAACAAAACAAAATGGCGACCCGCGTAGTTCGGCTCGATTCGAAAAGTTAAATAGCCGTAGCATCTTTGTAGACAACCAAATTAATTTACTTTTGTGTTTTAACATCATTTTTTAACTTTGTTTTGGTCAATTTGATCGTCCACACCGATAGACAGTATTCAGAAAGAGAGAGAAGAGGGGAGGAGTAGATCTTGCGAGAACTTCCGGGCGGGTGAGAATAGCCACTTTCTCCTAGCCTACCTAATTCCACCTAATAATTTGAAAGTGGCTATTCTCACCCACCCGGAAGTTCTCGCTAGATCTACTCCTCCCCTCTTCTCTCTCTCTCTCTCTCTGTCTCTTTCTGAATACAGTGACTATGTCATGTTCACGGCGCCCTGAATCATTCACCATTGGCTAGGAGGCACAACTGAAACGCTACTGTCACCCAAACTCAAAGTGAATGAGGAAACAGCTCAGGAGTACTCACGTGAAAAATAATGCAGCAGTGGTCAGAATGCAATGGAGTTTACGAAGGGCGAAGGCGGGCTCAGCAAAAAAGCTGCGGTCGACAAGGCCTCGCTCACTCAGCGCACAGAAAGCAACTTTGATCCTCTTCCCATGTGCGGACCACAGACATTTTAGATCTAAGATGTCTGTTACCTGCAGACCCTGCAAGACTTGACAATTTTAAAATAAAAGTCGTTCGAAGAAACAAGGGAGAATAGAAGAAGGCCAAGACGGGAAGAGGGGTGGGAGGGAGTGAAAAAACGAAGAAGCAAAAGGGAAAATGGTAGGGGTCCTAGCTGTCACTTTTCCGCTAAATAGCAGAAACTCCGCTACCTATACTTCATTTAGCGTTTCCTGAGGTGCTACTTTCCTCCGCCCTCCGCTCGACCAGTCTCCTCAGTACTTAGCAAATTGCCATACTTTTTTTTACACTTGGAAAACACTGAACTGAGAGTGAGACGAAAAACTAGCTTACGCATGTCCGCTGGTAGCTTCCTACTTTCGTTCTGTGCCTGGCGCTGAAATAAGTTTCATGTTGTTTATTTTGGAGGGACAGTATCGATTGAGCGTCACAACAATGGCGCGCCAAGTTGTCTTTGAAAACGGTGGAAATTCGAGAAAAATTGGTACAGAATGCAAAAATAAATGGAACTGGAGCTGAATTGAGAAAGAAGCAGACGGTGTGCGACTTCAACAGTTCATTAGAAAATTGAACAAGCTGGGTGCTGCACTTTGCATTGGGTGCTATAAAGATCTCGTACAGTGGCAAAGGTGTGCTCTACATCTTTTTATGAGACACTAGCTGACGGCAAACACTGAAATTTTTGTCACCAGACTTGGTCAAATGCTTGTTAGTGTCCTGTTTTTTTTTCTCTTTTATACATTTTAACTCAGCATGGTTAACAAATGTGTATGACACTTGTCTCTTCCAAAAACATCTAAGGTCTAGATGTTCCAAGAACATGCCTCTGGATCTCACTGGTTTTACTCTGGCCTTCGGAGAGCGCACATATACGCCTCGCGTGAATTTCCTCCTTTCTGTAAATTCCTGAGTGGCAGCTATGAGGGGTGGAAGTGAGCAAGATCATTCTTAAATTGCAAACTTCATTCAGTGCACCATGAACGTAGTCTGCAAACTACGTTCACGGTGCCATGAACGTTCTCACTGCAAACTTGAAACTTAACTAACTACAAGAGGTCTTCGGCTATTAACTCTTAGTTGTTGTTCTACCCAGAGATGCAAATCTAATCTGCTATAAGTGCCAGGACTAGGATCCCTCAGTGGTCAGAATGTGTGCTGTAGATAGTCTTGGAAATGTGTGTTTTCGCAGTGAATATTGGGGGGAGGGGGTTGTTAATCAATCATGAAAATAACAGCATCAACGCCTTATCTTTTATAGCGCACAACAAGATTTCTATATGTTTATCGAATACATGGAAAACCATCGAGATAGGATTATTTTTATCAGTTAAATTAAAATATCATTTTCAAAAGGATATGTAGAAATAGGACTACTAAGAAAGTGCCGATGGATGGGACACACCTTCAGAAAACCCAGCGGAAACATCACAAAACAGTCACTGCAGTGGAACCCACTGGGAACACGAGGCAGGAGTAGGCCATGGGAAACATGGAGGAGATGTGTGGAAAGGGACATCATGAGAGAGATGAAGCTCACTTGGAACGAGCTTGGAAGCATGGCCCAGAACAGAGATAAATGGAAGGAGCTTGTTGTGGCCTATACCCTGCCAGGGGTGAAAGGCATTGATGATGATGATGAATATCATTTTACTCATTTGAAAGATTTTTTATTGAAAAATGGCAGTCTTGTTTCCTAATTGTTCTTTCGAGTTCCTGAAGTCTTCGTGGGTCAATTTATTTAAATTTCATCGGGCGACGAACATCTAGAGCTACCACCTTTACATGTTTGAAACCAGATGTACGCCTCAGTTTCAAACCAATGCAGACGTTTCTAGAAATAGGCCACAAACACGCACAAAAATACAAGCAGACTGACGAACACAGATTTTGGCTTGGGAAACACCGGATCCAAAGATGCTCGGCGCGCACAAACTAAGCGGGGCCAGGCTGATGCAGAACCCCCTGGGAAAGGAGGGTGTCAAAATACGCTTCAGGGTGCGTAAAATAGGGCCCCCGGGGGATCAGGGTCAAAGTTAGTTAAACAGTAATAGTGCCATGTACTTCAGGTGGTAAAGAAAAGGATGCTATTATGTAAAGTGCTATTTTAGGCAAATTTCGAGGGGAGTAATCGAGATTTAAGGTGGATTGTACTATTATTTGGCGTGCTTTTATCTGGAGAACACTGTACCAGTATCTTCTCATTGTCTGGGTGAAGGACAGTAGGTCTGGCAATCTTCCAGATTTACATGTTTTACACTTGTTGGATTAAGGTATTAAGGTAATTTCCTTATTACCTGAATCCAGCAAATGTGATTAAAATGTGCAGATCTGGAAGCATGCTGTAGGTTCTAACAATAGAGCATGCCAAAAACAGATTACAAATTCTTTAGACTCACTTCAAGTTCAAGCCTAATTTCTTTAAAAAATCTTTGTCAATGTCTGTGCATATAAGTTTTTAAAGATAAAATGGTGTGCGTGTGTTGGCAATAGGATTGCAGTCATTAAATTTGTTCAGTGCAAACCAGATGCAAATTTAATGATTCATCATCATGTTCACCTTTGAGCCCAGAAGAGGTTTACATTTTTATTAAGATTGAATAAAGTATCGTGGTCAAATGGGTATGTCCTGACAAACAAGCAAAGAATAGAACACATAAGAATGTGTTTACCTCAGTTTCACAAGCATTAATTAGAGAAATGTAGATTTTATTTAATAAAATCTTGATTTAGTGTGTATGTTGTGAAATTGTGATGGATTGCATGGTTGTAATTGTCTGTGAAAAGATTGTGCATCACATGTTTGTTGGGTCTCTCTGTAAAATCATTATACTTGCAATGTCGACAGAAATCAAAGTATAGTATCAAATTAAGGTGTCTTTCTCCTGTTGCAGAGACTTGCCGGGGAAGAGTTTCATCTGGAACTTTGGTTACCTGGCTGTCTTCAGGACAGTTCACTGGGTGGGAATCCCAGCTCCAAGTCCAGTGACCAATGCTGCCCAATTATTCCTGACTCTACGGGTAAAGATTTCTCTACTCCCCTTCTGTCTGTTTTTTTTAATAATAATTGGTTGTGTGTATCACAGTATCAAGCATATTGTATCCACCATGTGTGCTTTATACTTTATATGTGTCTTGTCAATGAGATAGCTTTGAAGATTGCTTGGTACTGTTTTTACTTAAGTCAAGTTCTAATATGACACTAGCAAAAGGATTGCAATGCTAACGTTTATGGATATTGCTAAAAAATATTTTGTCAATAACAGTAGTGTATGAATTTATCTTAGTCTCTGGCTGACTGAGAGTTTTATGAGTTTAACACAACTTTAGGGACTTGTGATCTGGGGAGAAAAAGGATCAAGTGAAAGTCAGATACAGCAAACTCTGGTTCAACCTAAGGAGGCGGACTCCCTGGGGGGGGGGGGGGGGGGGGGGGTTTTCAGTTCATTAAAATCAACAGAATGACTTGGACGTAACGAACACGTGAATGAGCGAACTGAGATTCAAAACAACTACTTGCCGAGCGAACAGCCCCTGCTAATGTGACTTCATGTATTCTTGTCTTTCGACAAAGGTTATCTACTCTTTTCTAAGAGGCCATCGATTGCACTTGCACAGGGGAAAATTACACATTTAGCCTATCGCTTTCATCATGTGACCAATGTGAAACTTTCTTTAACACCAACATATGCATTGTTGACACACACATAAGACATGTGTGCCAGGGTCGTGAAAGGTCAGATGGGCGGCCAGTGTGGCTGTGACTGCTTGTGCCGGGGGGGGGGGGTAAGCACAACCGTTCCAAGCATGGAACATCAACATAGAAGCAGACTTGTCACAATCATACCCCTCCCTGGCTACTGAACATCGTTAGTGATAGGCTTGCCTAGACGTAGAGCTAAGTTAATTGCGTGCTGGTCTGTGGAACAAGCGTTGCTGTATGCTAAGCCTTACACCGCACTGCAACATAATTTGTTGCTTACATTGTTATGACAAGCACTTAGATTCAACAAAATTGAAGGTCAGGCTTGACGACTTTGCTACATCTGAGTTTCACTATACCATTGCATGTAACATCATTCCATTTCATCAAGTTCAAGATAGTTGTTGAGGCCGTATTTCAAAGATGTTGTGAAAGAAAGACCAAAAAATTGTTGGTAATAAATCGTACACTCAGCATAACCGCAGAGTGACAATATTTAATTAAATCCTTTCGGCCACAGCAACGTCAACACACTCTGTGTCATTTCCATTTACCGCCACAACGACAAAAATTGTGTTATCTCCCCCCCCCCCTCACACACACACACCCGCACATTCCCTGTAAGATATTTTTGTGAGTGACAGTGCACTGGGTCACCAACAATGTTAGATCTAGATTCCTAGTTACTTTCCAAATCAAGATAGCTAATCAAATTACTCTACAATACACCTGCTTTTCTGCGTTCAATCTCACTATCTGCTCTCCTGACCTTGCGGATTAATTTTTTGGCATAGTGAACAAGGTAGGCAATCTAGATTTCATATTGTCAGTAATACAAAAACTCGAGGGAATTTTAAATGTGAGGCATCATGGTTAAATAAGGCTCTCGTGAAAACCAAGAAATCGAAGGAACTGGCTTTCTTCTGCCTGTTTGGTAATTTTTATCGAACTTTTTTTTTTTTTTTTTTTTTTGGCTCAACAATTTTTTTGTCTATTTAAAACACATTTCTTTGTGGATATTACTGTGAAACATTGATGTAAGTCTCAAAAAATTTTAATTTTCAGTTTCCAGGGACTCTCAAGCTGTGGAAGTCATTGAAATTTGATGGCCATTTTATCGCTAATTTTAGCCCAGAAATCAGGCAAACCCCACCCCTTCAGTCGCAAATATTTCGACTTCTATTCGAGATAGATAGTGGGGTTTTTCATTGAAAGTAAGGTAAATGAACAAGCTTGAAGATGATATATGGATAACTCCACATGCCCAAAAATTGTTGAGCGCCTGATTCCATCTGGTCTTGATACAAATGACAGCGCAGATTTAATTGCAGATTTAACTCATTCGCTACGCCGAGCCGTGGGGGGGCGGCGTGGCTAAAGTGCCGTCAGTACGCCAAGCCGCCCCCCGCGGCTCGAGAACCGATCTTCAATTTTAGCTTAGATTCTATTCCAATCCACATATCCATGTTAAAATAAAGGTCATAATATAAAGTTGACTTCCGGGTCAAGCATTTCCACTGAAAATCGGAAGTTTAGAATCAGTTTTGAAACTCGATTTCGTAGTTTATTAGACTTTGTTTTATCGCGATGCCAAAATTATAGCCCGGACACCAGTCTTAGTAATTTTACACAACAAAATCTATCATTATTTTGCCCACTAAAGAAGTGTAGGACTCTTTTTTATAATATTGATACGATTGGACTCATATTGCCAATGCACTGTTATTGAGACATCAATATTTTTGAGTGCCAGATCTAGGTCTAGATCTAAATTGTCAAAATCTGTTTTTCTCCCAAAAATCACTACTTTTTGATGAAATTACACAAAAAGCGCCACTCAAGACATGTATAGGGTTATTCCAAACGCAATTCTGAATAATTCCATATAAGATACGAGTGGACTTTTTTCTGTTTGTGATCGTTTTTCAAGATTATAAAAATTTTTTTATTTTTTTTCAATATCGGATGTTATGATCCAAATGTACAAATATTATGGAATGTATGTGAATTTGTGCTAACTTTTCAATATTTTCCAGTTCTATATTCATTTATGGTTATTTTGATGTATCATTTGACTAGGTGCAAGCATATATTTTGAGTTTCACCAAAGATTATAAAGTTTTTATTTTCAAATTTTATCCGTATCCAATCAAAATTGTGTTGCATAATCGCCTCTTACAGAAACCAAAGTTGAAAAATACATAAATAAACATTACAGATGTATTCTACAATCCATACTGAAAATATTGGTATATAATATGTTGATATTTTTTTGAATTTGTGGCCCCAAAGACCTTTTAACTGCCCCCTATTCATCATCTCATTCGCCCTCCCGAAAAAAAATTTGTCCACAAGCTGAAAATAATACGTAGCGAATGAGTTAATTCTGGCTGATCAGGAAAATCATTGAAATAGGTACTGGCTCGTAGGAGTTAAATAATAACTTTGACGTAACCTCAGCCTTATTACATATATGTCACGCCTGGAATAGAACCATATTGACAGTATTGACATTTAATGGATACATACCAACAGTACAACCACAGTCTTGAATACTTCCTAAGTAATTTGTACAAATGAGGTAACTGCCTTCTGATTCTGTATTGAAATTGATTTACTTTTTCTTTTTTAGATGATTGGTATAGCATTTGAGATCCAGGATAGTTTCATGTTCAGAGCCCGAGCGCAGGAGTCAGGTGATGCTAACAAGAGCCAAGAAGCGCTGCTGGTTCGATACTGTACAGTCGATGTAGGGCCAGCAGAGCTTGTCTCCTATGCCTTTTGCTACATTGGAATACTTACAGGTAAGCCTTATATTGTGTGTTTCATGACTTTAAAATAATGGCAGATGAATGTTAAATTGTTCTTCAGGCTATTTCAGAGCACTGCAAGGGCTGTCTCAGAATTACCAAGAAAATGGCTATAAAATGAAAGGTTTTGTCGTGATTGAGGTACAACTTGCACAGTTAGTTGGCGAAACATTCCCTTTATTTCCAGGGTTCTCACTCAACCTAGAAAAAAGCCATGATTTTTTATTTTTTTTATTTTATGAAAATACGATACTAACATTTGACCACACAATAAGCACACAAAACAACCAACTACCATTTTTGCTGGAGAATTGGGGTGTGAAATACCCCTAGTAAACGTTCTGATCTTCTTAGTCTGAGACAACGCAAACATGTACCAAGAACCAAACCAGGTTCTTTTGACAACAAAAACGCACACAGTTTCGTCAAGCTTGCAAAAGTTCTGCTTAATTCTGTGTTTGGGTGGGGGGTGCATTTTGATAAATATTGGGGGGTGGGGGATGCTAGCTGTCCCAGCCCCCCCCCCCCCCCCCCCCCCCCCAACTAATTAGTCATGGGGAGATTTTAAAAATTCTTTGTGCTACTTGTATTTTGCAGGTCCCTACTACAAGTACCGCACATTTCAAGACTGGCTGGAGCTACCAGTGAATGCTAATCTGAACGTGAAGCAGACATTGACGGAACGTGTCATACAGCTACCTGTCATTGCCTTCTGCTTCTGGTTTTTCTCACGCTCCTTCAATATCGAGGTATAGCACTGCTGATCTCAATACTCCCCCGAGGAAGTTTTTCTTCAGCTCTCTTTAAATGTTTTACATCAGCAAAGACATCGCAGTAAATTGTATTACGTGAAAGAAAAAAAAACTTTGGTAAAAACTTAACTTATTAGGATATATGTATTTTTGTCAAAGTTAGGCAACATATTATATAAAAACATTCTGTAAAACATAGCTAATGCACTTCGATATAACACAGAGCAAAAGCATTGAGGTAAAACTCTACTTATAAATATAACCATAAACACTTTGGTAAAAAAACTGACATATCTCAAAAGATGTAATTCACCAAAATCATGACAAACTGTGTTGATCTGATGAGAAATTCCTTCTTACCCTCAACAGCATCAGTGAACTGTCTTTATAGGCTTATTTTTACAGTGATAATCTTAATCTTGTAGTGGAAGAAAAAGGTCAACTCTTTTTTTTTTTTTTTTCCTAAAACCATTGCCAAGGTCAATCTGCAGGTTGTCAACAACAAAAAAGAATAGTAATGAATATACTGTGGGTTAGCCTTTGTGTCTCCTCTCATCATTTAAATCAGAGGACTGTGGGAAAAAAAATTTTTTAAACCGGTGACATGGTTAGAGCATACCACCATCAATGTGTGTGTGTGTGTAGAAACATAGAAAGGCATGGATAGATAAACAGATACAGAGAGATAGATAGATATAGATATATATACACACACATAGTCTTTACATGATACTCTATGCATTTGTCAGCCTGGGAGATATATACATATGAATTTTGAAAGTGAATTTCTCCATCTGTCGCATTTTGTTCTTGTAACATATATTCCCACGTCCGCATTTGAATAACTTGTTTGTCTTCCCCTACAGTACGTGGAGACAATTGCATTCCTGGAACGCCCCTTCCTCTTCCGCCTGTTCTACATGGTCCCAATGTTCATCATTTTCCGCACACGCCTGTACATGGCCTGGATCATGTCGGAGATTATGTCTGTGACGGCTGGACTGGGAGCATATCCAGCAATATCCAAGCCACAGTGTGGTCAGGGACCCACCGACTACAGCATGCTGGACACTTTGTAAGAATGGAATCTTCTCACCCCCTTTTCATCTCATTCCAATGTGTACCTTCTTTCTTCTCAAAGAAATAAAGTGGGGCAAAGTTTCACATAATTAATTGGTAACTTTGTCTTTGACACAGTTTATCCTATGAGATGATAAGTCTGTCCCGTAAATCCAGTTACCTGTATATGTAATGTATGCTAAAGTAGAAACTTGTTTTATGACAAAAAGATGATGTCTTCTACAATATGCACAGTACATGCCGTTGGGATGATAAGTAGTCTTTGACATAATTGTTAGTCTCTTCTCTTTTGCACATTTAACACGAGTTCAACTTTTGTGAGGAAGTGTATGTTATTGAGTATCTCTTTCTTTCTGCTAGGATGGCATATCTGACTCAACTGAAGTTGGCCCTGATAGACAAGTCGAAGGAACCTGCCTCACAAATGATGTACAATGAAATTCGCTTTAACTGATGAAACCAATCGTGGTTAATCTGAAACCAGCAGTAAACCAAAAGAAATAAAGTCCCTCATGTTTTTTTTCTTCCATCTGAGCAATCTTTCTAATCCGAAAATCTGGATAAATTGAAGAAAATCCAACAGTTCCACAGATTTGAAAGTCCAGATTTGAATTTGACACCTTTTATGGTATCTAGGAAGCAGGCCTTGCTAATTTAAATATGTTTGTCTCTCTTTATGTCTTACTTGTTGATTTGCATACATTTTGATGGTTCAAACAGAACAGTACCCTTGAATGTGTTTTTCCAGTTACACATCACCCAAAAAGGTTGACCAACGCTACAACTTTGAGACAGTGCACAACATTGACATATATGGCTGTGAGCTGGCCCCCTTGACCAAGCAAGGACTTCGCAGTTGGAACATGACAGTCCAGTACTGGCTGGCCACCTACATCCACCGCCGTGTGCCGCCCGCCCTCAAGGCCAACAGGTGACTACACGTCTGAATGTCAAAGCTGCTGGGGGTTTTTTGTTTGGTTTTTTCTCTTTTTTTTTTTTTTTTGGGGGTGGGGGTGGGGGGGTACATTTTTACTGCTCTACTAGACATAGCTGGCCCCGTGGGCTTTGTTGGTTACGTTTCTAGTTTGTATCTAGCAATGTGTTTGATTTTTTCAAGAATAAGGTAGACTGTCACAGAACTGGTCATGTAGAGAAATGATTGCTCCATTCTACCGACAGGACACCCAGACTAAGAGGATAGTCTTAGAAAGAAGACTTGTTCTGCAAGTGCCATAAAATATTTACTAAAAACTAAAAGATCAAGGGTATCAGCGATGTCACAAATTTTGAGTTACCTGTCATCACGAATTAGTTTTCAATGCATTCAGCATCGTTAACTCACTTGCGACTGGGCCCTTTCACCAGTCACAAGCGTTGAAGACTGGCGTTTTGGGGGTATTTCAATAAATCACCACAACTCTCAGAATTACCCTATTGTAATCATTTTTCGACACAGTAAAGTAACATTCAAGCTTAATCTAATACAAAAAACTAAAGTTGTCTAAGTCTAATACTTAAATTTGTATGATTTTTTAAAAATTGGCATGAATTTGATTTTCCGAAAAATTTCCAAAGACGTGACAAGTAGAATGAAATTCACTGCAACAACAAAAATAAAAGTTCAAAGTGTTCAGGTTTGATTTGTATACATGGGCGAGTGTTTGGTGAAAATATAAAAGCTGGTCTGTGCATTGATTCAGGCCCATACACTGAATTACATGAGACAGATGTATGGCACGTCGTTGTGATTTCGTTGCGCGAAAAACAACACCGGTACTAGTGCTAGATCTAGCCCTAGAACTACGACTCGGGCCGTGTTCGGGTACATATCCAGGATCCTAACTATTAGACACATCATATTCTGAGACACTAGAACTAGTAAAACGCACAGAAGTATAGAAAACGGCGAAATTATGTGATTCTTGTTCATGCGACTTCTTCGACCGTTACTATGACACGACTGTCGGATTACTATCAGCTGTATAGAAAAAAACAAAGCGCGAGTTTCGGTCTGTTCAACCCCAGTTGGGGTCATTGTCCTTCACCTTCAATAACTTAAAAACTACCGGCCCCAGAGATACGAAACGAAGTCTAAGTAGCTCAGGCTTGGCCAAACAAGGGTACGAGGCAGGTCTCGCGATCCGTGCGTGATTTGTAGAGCGAAAAAAAAAATCCAAAGTTGGTCACGCAGGGCTTGTGAGACCCGCGACGGGGGTCACGCAACTGTTGTGTGACCCGTCTGAAGTGAGTTTTTAAAAAATTTGTTTGTGTTGGCAGACATATGTCAGCCTCTAATTTGCTCATCGTTTAGATCCTTGATTTGCTTCGAATATTTTCACCATAAATACTTTTAAGTTCTTCCTGAACTTCATAGGGATTTTCCATTTTGTGTAAAGAAGTTAAACGACATCTTTCACCTTTTGACCAATTTTGAAAAATATTAGATAGTTTATTACGTCTATTTTTTAAACTAATTCTGGGACAGCCGTTGTACAATTCCATCCGCTGCTGCTGCAACAGCAGCTGTTAAGTTCGCGCTAGACTGTCTGGTGTTGAGGCAGAAAGGTGTAGACCCCTGAACCAGTCACTGCCCGTGTGTGATGTGAATGATTTTTCTTCCTCAGAGTGGCGATCACCATGACCGTAAGTGCCTTCTGGCATGGCATCCACCCTGGCTACTACCTCAGCTTCCTCACTGTCCCTCCCATCCTCATGGCGGAGGAGACCATGATCAAAGCTTTCCGCAAGGAGGCGAGCCCTCTGGGGCAGCAGCTCTTTGATTGGGCTTGCTGGTTCTTCAAGATGCGTGGCTTCGACTATATGTGCATGGGCTTTCTGCTGTTGCGTCTGGGCTCCACGCTTCGTTACTGGTACTCGATCTACTTCCTCGGACATCTTGTCATGTTATCATTTTTAGCAATCGGACATCTCGCTTTAGCTCTCAAACCTAAAAAGCCGAAGGCTCAATGATAGCTGAATGTCAGCAGCCGTGGGGAGTCTTCCAGGGTATAGCTGATGACTGAGTAAGTTGGATTTTCAGTCCTTGCTGGATGAGAGGCGCAAAGAAATTTATGGTTCGGATACAAACAGTTGTACAACAAAGAACAAAACCCCTGGAACATTCCATCATTGTGGAATTTGTGATATTTTGGAGGAAAAAAAGTTGTCTATTTTTTAGTGCGTGTAAAATTAAGAACCTATGTCATGAAGAGTTTATCTTATAAGTTCTATTTTATGTGTAGGCCTACCATTTGTCCTACAGAAATTCTTACTTTGTGTGTGCCTTTTGTCTGCAGAAAGTGCTATTTCGTGTGTGCAGATTGTCCACTGAAAGTTCTACTGTTTGCATGCCGTTTTTGTGTTTTTATTTCTATTTTGTTTGTACTATCATTTTTAGATTCTACTTTATATGTGTGTGATATCAGTTATGATATGTTGTCACAAATGTTACAAAGCCACAAAGCCACCAAGTTTTGCTAGTTTTTTAAACTAACGAGGGAAAGGCAGGCGCGTGTGTGGATGAAGACAAGAAATCTTAGTTCATTTTTTGTGGATATTCTATGTACCGGTATGTGTTTTATAGAAAAAAAGATAGAGTACAGGGTGTTTTTTTTTACAAATCAAATCCTTACTGGATGTGTCTTTGAGTGTGTTAATATAAGGAATTGCAAGATCTAGACAGGGTGTGTTTTTCTTGTTTTAGATGAACAGATGTGGAGATTGCAGAACAGACTGTCCCCCCAGACAGGGATGCCAACCAGTACGATTTTACGTATTTTAGTACGATTTTTTGCCGAAAATACGCGAATACGACTTCATGAAAAAATACGCATCCTGGAATGTGAAAAATGCGAGATTCAGCTTGGGCGAGTACACCTAATTACAGGTATCTCAAGTCCTATCTTTTGTCAAAATAGTCTCAGTAACACGGAACTGGAATATTTGAAAACCAAGTGCGATAAGGTCAGTAAGTTCAGTTTTGCCGGTCGCGAATGTGATATATTCGTTCAGCTTTTCCCTGTCCGAGAGTACGTTTCACGCGAACAGGCGGCTATGGCGGCAGGCGGAAGTGTATGTGACACCGAGGCTCGATCGAGAAAATCAAGATCTACTTTCACTTTCGTTACCACCGAGAAGTTTGCCATCGGTAGTCTGATAGGCTAAAGCAACATTTGTGACAGGCAGGTTGTGCAGTATAAACGCTGTGTCGCCGTGCAAATTAAATTTAATCAATACTCCGACTCGTCTCTGTGCTGTGACTTGTGGGAAAAAAAGAAAAGAAAATACAAGCGTCGTCCGATTTTTAAATTGTCTAGCTCGCCATCGTGACCGGTCAGTGACCCTGCGCGCATTGGCATCTTAAAAATACGACATCGTGTGAGCAAAGGCCGTCTGTGGTGGGAGTAACGGCATTGCAAATTATAGGACTATGGAATAGAGGGGGGGGGGGGATGTGAAGGCAACACCGGAGGACAAAAGTTTGGAAGCAATTTCAATATTTTGATTAGAGCTCTCTGCTAAGCGCGCGTTGGTGCATGCCGTGTGCGGAACCGGGACACTTCATACTTTGCAAGTCCTTGTTATTGAAATAAAGTGTTCACGTTTCATTGGATGGGTGATAGTAAATTATACCTACAGTGTATGTTGTAGCTTTCTGTTCAAGACTGGCAGATTTTCAGTGTCACTGCATCTTGCCCTCCACGGTTGTTACAACTTTCACAGTGCATGGGTCTACTTGAGCCTTTCAAGTTATTGCTCTTCTCTGAGTTTGACCCATAATTTTAGTCTGTCAGTTCATAACATGAATCATGACACCCAGACTGGTCCTTGATAGTCGAAATTCTTGTTCTAGGCCTTTCCGAACGCTCAAAGCAGGATTAATTTTTTATATAATAATGAGACGAAAATATTATACATGTAATAGACTGAAATACTTTAGTCAAACAAGACCCCAGTACAACACTGAACACTAACATGTTGACTGGATACATGTATATATTGTACGCGTGTGTGCTCCCTTTTTCGGGCTGGTGAGCTAGTAATTTTTTTTCAGGAAATATTGCTGGACATCCTGAACATTTTAGTAGTTGGTCAGTTGGTCGTGGGAAATACACATTTTCCCCTGAAAATACACATTTTCATATCTCCCAATACTCATTTCGGTTTTCCGTGGTTGGCATCTCTGCCCAGAGCTGTGCTACTGACTGAAATGTTTTTAGGCTATTCCCAAAGAGAGAGGGGGGGGGATAATAACATGTTCTTATGCACAGAGGAATTGCAAATGGGCTGATTTATCAAAGTCATGCTCACACTGTGCCGGAACAGCATAGGGGGAACTACTGCTTTTTCTTTCCCTATCCTTACTATCATCATTTTCCTCTACTTCCTTTGCCTGATTCCCTGTTTGGACTCCTCTGTTGACAGCCACCCCTTGGTGCTCATATGACCTTATGCAGTTGCAAGCACCATAAAACCTTACTAAAACAAACAAAGCAGAATGGACTGCTAGACAGACGACTCATTCTATGAGAATGGGTTTATTTACTTCGATTTATTAGCTTGACAGTCAAACCGAGTGGCATTTCGATATTTTTTATCACACCGAATGGTTGTTTCAACTTGCATAATGACTTTCAGAGCACATTCATTGTAATTGTAGTGCTTCGACTCTGATAGGCTGTTCGTTTGGGTCTCAAATTTTGTTAGGATGTTTCGATGGTTGGAGTGCTCTGCCATAAGCTGACATAATGCCTTTTTTTCTTCACAGCACTTTCGAGAGAATGAGGTTTTTTGGTCAGTGTAACTATTTTAAAATAGAATAATTCAGAAATTTGAATTCTAATATATTCAAAAACTAGTCAGTTTCACTTTGATTTTTTCACACATCTGGTCAGGTTTTTGATGTTACAAATAAAACAATTTTGTGCGAAAAAGAATAATGGCGTTTTGTCAGCTTACGCCAGTGCTGCCCTCTGTATGCAGCTGATGATCTGGGGTTGACACTTGCTTGTTTATGTGTGAATAGGTTTTAATGCATTTGTAAGGATGGGAGAGTAGGGCAAGTGAGACTGAGAGGAACATTGTTTGGATTTTGTTTTCTTTATATTATGTATATTTATGCATGCTTTACTGTTTCAGTCAAACCAGTCGAAATGCAGATATACCTATTCTATCAGTCTATAGTGGCTGTTGGTGCCAACTTAAATTTATGAAATCTATTTTTAAACGATATTTTATCTCTATATAATAATGTAATATTTTGCTGTATGCTTTGTCTGTGTCCACTAAGAGGACCATGCCACATGAACTGCATGCAGGGTGAATGTTGAGACGTCCACCACCCACACTTCTCCACACAAATCAGGGTCTGTAGGGTTTTCTTCCCTGTCCACCTCTGGGAGCTTATATCACCCACAGTATCTAGCCACTGTGCCTGTTCTACTGGAGTAGAAAGACACTATTGTATGGCAGACCACATGGCTGGATTTCTGTCCTAAATCAGACATCAGAGGTTATTGTTTCGACTTGATTTGAGTCAATCACTGTACTTTTTATTCTCTTACTGCTTCTTAAAAGACTCTTTTTGAGTGAAACCCAATGGAATTGGAATTGAAAAAAACCCATAATCCATTATAATACTCACCATCCTGTTTTTGTGAATTCAGAGGTCCCAAGTGTACTTTTTAAAATCATATTTATGAAACAGCAAATTTTGCCAATTTGTATGATACTGTCGGTCACATTTTTTGGGGAATGGGCATAATGTGTGGTATTGGTTTCATAACTCAAGCTGGCGTTGTTAAAATGATCCCAAACTCAAATATTATTCTTCCTGTCGGTAGGCCTACCCCGGAGATATCAATGAACCACCAGTTCTCTCTTTTGGTCTCAGGGAACTCATTCTCTCTATCCTTCGGTCTCCGTCTGGGTGATCACATTCGATCTCACGGTCTTAGGGACTACTTTCTCTCCCTTTGTGATTCATATCATATGTCAGTACATAGAGAACGTTATGTCTCAGTATCGTACTTATAGACCGATACACAAATGTCAGTCAACCCTTGAAATATCATTCTATTGGTCTTTGTCAGGTTTTGCTGATTTTAATTTTACCCTCAGATGGAAGTGGTGAACTTTGTATACATAAAACCATGATGAGATGATTTTCCTCAATTCTTTATTATCATGTTTTTGACTTCAAGATTTTTAAAACTTAATTAAAGAGGCATTTTCAAATCAAAATGTCTTCAGTTTCAGTAGCATGTGAATTATAGTAGTCTTGTTACTCAGACATTCTAAAGCAGAGCTTCTGTTTTTACTCCTGAGACAAGCTTCACGAAAAGTATGATTCCACTGTCTGACGTCACAGAGTTGTCATCGCATGTGAAAGATCTGTGGTGAATGCTATGTGTGAAATGTGACTTGACATCTGCCTCCAACAGGACCAAATGATCGGTGGCATAAAACTTTTTGACCTAGACATTCTCTTACTTGTAGAGACTTGGACTGTTACTCAAAGTCAAAGTGTACAGCTAGTAACAAAAAGACATGCTATCTTCTCCAGTAAAGTCAAAGTATTTCTTTGAAATGAAAATCTTGCAACACGTACAAATGTAGACACACAAACAGATACTTTCATGAGCATGGTCCTGTTGACTGATGACACATCTGGCTACAGATCAGAAGACTCCACATACTTTCAGACAAGTGTTTGGCTTTTTATTCCATGAAAAATAAACCTACATTGACACATATAACGCAGAGATGATGACAAATTTAAGCAGTGATAGTCGTTCTTTACCTTTTTTTTGTTTGTTAGAGGCAACCTTCCTCTCAGAAAAATAAAATGTCTTAACCCACAGCTCTGTTGCTTAAGAATTTTTTCAGCAGGTTATCATCAATGTGTTACAAGTGTCACTTCAGTTTCATTTTTCAAGGAATGGCCAATTTACAAACCAGCATGTACAAACGAGCACAAAAAATAGGCGCAAACAAATAAAAATAAAGAAATGCAACTGAGTACATCCAAAATAATACATACACTCTCCAATTCACTTCAACATTTATTTATTGCACTGTTCCAAGCCATATTGATAACATTGACAGTACAGAGCACGGTTCTGAGCAAATACGACCAGTAATGTACTAGTAAAAGCCATGCACCATGGCCATAATTCAGAACAGTACAGGACGTGTACAACGTAGAAAAGGCTTTTGCACAGGGCGGGCACAACTTCCATAAAGCATTTGTACAGGGTGCATACGGCTTCCATACATCTTATAATTGCTGGTCCCCGGAGCAGGAGGAATGCGTTCAAGTAAGATGAACATTTTATCGCCATCACAGCGTCAAATCCATGCCAGAACGTGGCAGTGTCAGTGTCAGTGCCACAGAGTCAAATGCCTTCTCCACTCGGGTGAGCTAACTCCTGAATGACACAGTGCAGTAACTGGTTTTGTTCACAGTCCAGCAAGGGCCATAAATCTTTCTGTAATGCCCGGAGAGAGTCTAGGTCATGTGACTGGCATGCCATCTGTGGAGAGCAAAAACATGGGGTCAACAATACACTCTTGTACTTGTATCATCTGGGCTGGGGAGATTTAGTGAGGTCTGATTTCTTGTGCGTCACTGAACTAGTGACATACGGAGGTTACCAGTGTCTGTGATGGAGTGCTTAGCCTCTTTGCCTTGCATACAAAAGATATAACTTCGGGGAAGTTATTTTACAGAGTACATGTCCATTTGCTTCAGGGAGATTCTCCATACAGACTGCTAGTAGTGCTAGGTCGACTTCTACAGGAAGGGTCCATGCCTCCGAAATAATAAACTCATGTCAATAGGAGTGTAAAGACATTTACTTTGCAAAAAGTTTTTTTTAAAACCTGATGAGAAATTGAGACCTGGTATAGAGAAAAAAATTACTCAATCGGGGTACAGTAGTCTCCGTCTAAACGCACGGTGCTCGGGAGGGCTCCTTAGCGTGTGTTTATACGGAGCGTGCGTTTACACGAACCTTTGCAAATGGAGGAAGGGACGCAGTCATCTCATTGCCTTGATATTCTAGTGACCTCCCTTTGGGGTGGGGGTCACTTTGGGCCTATAATGTGACGACACGTGACTGTTTTGTAAAAGATTCCCCGACTGCAAAGGCGTTGAATGGGTGTGTGTGTGTTTGGGGGGAAGGGGGGGGGGGGGCAGAAAGACAGACTCGATGTAATGAATGCACCATAAAATGTCGGGAACCAATAGCCTAAAAAGAAATTGTTTGTGATAGTCATAGAGACGACGGCCCTGCCACGTGGCTTTCCAAGCGACCACCCCCGATCGTAAATTCATGAACGAGCATTCCCATGTGTTGCGCATCATAGGCTTAAGTCTAACTAAACATTAGCCAACACGCAGTCACTCAAACACCAGTCAGAAACCTTCTCTCAATAAGATGCATTTCCAGTGACCAATCAAATAACGTTTCAGTCCCCCAACCCCCCAACATATCACCAACCACTCCTAGACCTATGTGTCTCGAAAGTTGTGTGTGAAAATGCTGTCCATCTCTCTCTTTGTTCGGCATAAGGGTTAGTCTCGTAAAATATCCGGTTTTCTAGGCTTGTCTTATTACTCAAGCTGTGCAGATCGTACAGTAGTCGTAGTGAAATTTCCCTTAGTCAAGCTTTACCTGTCAGCGTGTTTCGCAGATTGGAGCGTGCGTTTAGGGGGAGTGACCATGCGTTTGTACGTCTAAATTATATAGTAAAAAAAAACGTCAGAGGACGAAAGCGTGCGCTTGAGCGGAGCATGCTTTTGTATGGCGTGCGTTTAGGCGGAGACTACTGTATCAGAAATGAGTTTTGGTAAAAGACAACAGAAGAAAGTAAAGGGGAAAAAAAGCAGATGACAGCTGAGCACACGCGAACCCTCTGAAAATGGGATGTCCTCACCAACAAAACTGAGCTGTTCTTGAGATTGCATCTCTAAGCGTTAACAGATCTGCTACAGACCAGACACATGACAAATGTCTACGGGATGAAACGCCCAGGGTGATTTTGCAGGATCAAATGAAGGACTAGTTGATTAACAACACAAATATTTTGAATATATATTATATCTTACACCCCATTTGTCTTAAAACATGATACAATGAGCAGAGACTATTCATATCATCTATTCTTGTCTCATCAAGACAAATCTGTGAAAACACACTCAAGTCAGGTCAGAACCTTTGGGAGGGCAGGGGCTGTTCTCATCAAGTGTCCAGCAAGGGGAAATGGATGCTCAGATTTGTATCCAGGACCTAATTTCCTTAAAAACCTCTACCAGACAAGTCAACAAGAAGCAGAGCCGACATCAGCAAAGCATGCATTCGCAAGGTCAGGTAAACTTAAAACATGCCTCGCTCTTTTTTTAACTGACAAAATTAGGAAAGTACAGAAGTGAAGACATCAAACAAAGCTAGTTGACAATGACAGACCGTCCACACTCACCACTACTGACTGAAGCAGGAGATACAGGTCCTCCCCCAGGTACATTTCTGAAAGAAATAATAAGGAAGTGTCTACGTACTCCCCGATTGGGGTCTACGTAGCCATGGTCTCTAGGTGGACCCCAAAAATGTTGGATTGTGATTGGCTCGCTGAGCGAGCGGTAGTTTACATTGGTTAAAATGCAAGGCTGCTAGGCCTATTACTGATCATCTCGGGTAGTATGTTTATCTTGTGTTACTATAATTAATTTATTTTAGCCAAGAGAGAGAGAGAGAAAGAGAGAGTATTTAATGAATAAACGTATCTAGATCTAGATTTTGTTGTGCACCCAGCCAAGAGTGTGTAGTTCGGTCTAGATTTAGATTCTAGATCTAGATCTAGACATCTAGATTAGATCTAGATTCTAGATCTAGATATGTTTATTCATTAAATTATACTCTCTCTCTGGGCTAAAATAAATAAATTATAGTAACACTAGATCGACACACCGCCCGAGATGATCAGTAGCCTTGCATTGTAACCAAAGATAGTACAGCCTACCGTAGGGTGTAGTATCTTTGTTGTAACCAATGTAAACTACCGCTCGCTCAGCGAGCAAATCACAATCCAACATTTTGGGGTCCACCTAGACACCATGACAACGTAGACCCCAATCGGGGAGTACGTAGACACTTCCAAATAATAATAGTAATAAGTGCATTTACTCTACATTGTGCATATCCATGCTCTTCAGTTTGTTCTATAAGCTTTACAACAATTAATAAAACAACATATGGAAGTCAGACAATCTGCAAGTTTCTGTAGCATACAATATTTAAGTAAGGGGAGGAGTTAGAAAAGAGATTAAAAAATTGAGGAAAAGGTAAACCTTTATTGTTGAGAATACAATATTTCGAGATCATACATGTCATTGCTGCAGGATTCTAAACAGCTTACACCAAAATTGCAGTTTTTGGCTTTCTTCCCTGAATTCTGACTGACATCATACAACACATCCTATAAATAACTTTTAGCCAAATTTACCTGTCCAAATAGTAGGTACCAGAAACTAAATTTTCAAACTAGCTGTATGCCAAATTTATCTGTTCCATTTGAAAGGCCTATATCCACTGAGCATTTTGGTACCATTCTTTAACCTCTCCGTCAATTTTTAAGAAAATTGTAATTGTTTAAAATTTGATCAAATTTGTTAAAGTCAGTCACTGGCTGCAACCTCATGTTTGACAGACAATAAAAAAAGTACCAAGTGCACTAAACATCTCCACATTAACAGAGTACAAACACTATAACAAATGTATGGAGCCTAATTTTTTTCAAGACTGTGAGATCTTTACAAATCAGTATTTTATCGCCTCAAACACGATGATCTGTCGTTATTTCGACAAAAACACAGAGCGTTGACCCGGCGGCGCAGCACCGGCCCCCGAGGCGAGCGAGTCAGCTCTATACTGTAGTGTACCCCATGTGCGGGGTCACATGCTTTCTGAGTCTTGCGGAAGGATTGATAAAAAATAATTCCAAGTTAATTACTTTATTCTAATAGAAAATGAACTGATCTTTTAATTGATACCTTTTATAAGTCGGTATTTTACATATTTTGTGTAAAAAGGGATCTTTAAACATTTTGACGGTATTTTTAAAAGCTTTCTATAAAGACGCCAAAGGCTAAACTTATATCACGGGAAAGCCCGTTTAAAGCTCTACAGTTCTCCGCCAATGAAAAGACGGTATTTAATCATCCCTCGTTCCGCGAAGCATTTGAATGCACGCGTGTCAATTTTTCAACCCGCCGACCTCGCATTCCGACCGCGAGGGGCTTCGCTTTCGTCGGCGATTCTCCAGCTCCTAATAATCGGACATATAAACAACTTACACCATTGTAACGAGGAAAAGCTGAACTATTACAAGGTGTACGGCATTTGGTGTTTTATAGCGAAAGAGCAAAGAAACAGCGATCGGAATTACCCCGATTTTACCGATACCACGCGGTCGGAAAGCCGCGTGTGCCCGCGAGGCCGTGTTTACTCTACCTACAAATAGTCACTACAACATTAGACTCTAAACAGCTAAAATGTGTATAATAGCCTTGCTGTTTAGTTTTTTTCACTCTCCTGCAAAATTGACAGAAAGCGGATTAGACATTTAGAATCCCGCAGCAACAGTGTGAAGCCTCTGAAAGAAAAACACACAGGAGATCATCAGAGCTTCAAATTGAAACATAAAGATATGATGTAGCCCAGCGACATGACATGTAGACAGCAGCATGGACCAATGACACCAACACAGACAGTGTGTGACAATTTACCTGTGATGCTGTCACATGATTCCCAAGTGTACTTCTCTAGCGTCTGTGCATGCTCAGGTCGGATTCTCTGTGGGGTCGGCTGATGATCAGACGAAACAAATCTATGTTACTCGATATTCAGGTACAATGCCCGCACCCACACCCCCTGAAACAAAAGGTCTCAGGACATTGCCCCCACTCTTGTAACCCTCTCGCCAAGCAAGTGTCCTGGGTGAGATCTGTCTGAGAGGCTAATGATCGATATATCACGATTATCTTCATAGAGAAGATTATGTACTCATCTATTCCTAAGTTGTGTGTTATATATATATATATGTTAATATAAGAACCCTACAAAACTATTTAAATTTAAATGGTTGTGGGTTTTAATTCCTGAATCAACTGGGTCCAGCCTTGCGCCCCTGAGTAAAACGTTTACATGACACTATCACCACTCCTTCATTTGGTCAACAAGCAACTGAAAAGCATCCTTTCCATACAAGGAGCAGGGATCTGGTAGCCTACCAATCTGTCCTGCTTGACATTGGATATCATTGGCCAGCTGTTTAACTGTGTTAAGCCCCAAATTCTAATTCTTCTTAATGGGTCCCCAGAGTAGTTCCGTACGAAAACGAAAGTGCAATAATCGAGTAGTTCTTATCATGGCCTTTCCAACGATACTAAACTTGATTACCTTGCAGCCACGGAAAGTGTTGTTGTCAAGTGGTAAAGTTTAGCATTTCTTGACGTTTTGTTAGAATTTTTTTGCCCCCCCTACCGCTTTCAAATACATTTTTATATATATCAGAGGTCTCCTTAGGTTTTGGGACCTTCACAAACGGATTCTTGACACATTTTTCTGTAAGAATATCCAAATACTCGAAGTTCCATTTTTTTTTAGCAAATACCCGATTTTCTAGGGGATCGAGACCCGCGGATTCCCTTAATCTGTGATGTCAGCAGCATGTACTCAAGAAATATTTTGTCTAAATTCAAATTCTAAGTATAGAAAAAGGCAAGAAAAGATATTTCATTTAAGTACAATTGTTAATACAATGAAACATTTTTTTCTCTCTCGTGTAAAATTTCGCTTTCTTGGCTTAGTGCATTTACGATATGCTCTCTGGCTCTGTAAGTCTCAATTTTCCTTTCACAATCTGACGATGCAGATACACACAAGTCACTCCCTGGGTGCATAACAGCATGACTCTGTGTCTCTATGACATCTCCACACTAGACACCTACCTGTAACAACAAGAGCAGCAACACTCTAGTGATCTCACACTTGGCCAAGACATCACAGTATGCACCAATTGGCTGACCTGTGCTGGAAGAACCTACAAAAATAGAAGGTGACATTCAGGGAAACTGGATGTGGAAGTGATTCCACTACATTAGGGTAAAACCAGGTATCAAGTGATTCAACTACATTTCAATGGCTGAGTGCAAGACTCCAACCAATGTCAGATGGCAAAATGGCACAGCAGTGCAGAGAAATATAAGTTAAATTGATTAAGGGAAATTGTATAAGAAGTCTTCTCCTTCTTCTTCTTCTTTGTGTTCCCCCACCAGATCTCAGGGGTAGATGACTACTGATTCTTCAACCTGCAGAGCAGCTGATTTTTACATCTGAGACCGTTTGTCCTAATTCGTAGGGCCCCTTGCTTTCAGGTACAAGGCGTTCAATCATACCTACACAAAGATCAGGGGTGTGACTGAAAGACAGCAGTAAGGTAGAAGCAGTGAAAGAGTCAGGAGTAACAGAGATAGGAGCCCACAGGAGGCTTTGGTGTGGGGCTGGGGGCGTGGGGGAGGGGTTATAAAAAGGAAATGAAAGCAGATGACAGAAGACGCCTAGAGAACCGGAAAGAAGTTGAATGGAGAAATATTTAATCGCTGTCAGGTTCTGATCCTGGGACCTTTAGAAAAAGAGGTGAATGTTGTACCTCTAGACTACAAGAGCCCCTGATATGAAGAGAGTCCAATACATTAAGGGAAACTGGGTATGAAGTAATCAGATTTATCAATGGACTTTATGTTTCAATCAAGAGCATAAAAACATAAACCCACAAAGGAATAAAAAGGACAGTCCTAATAATACATTATGTCTTCTTTCCAGTAAACACAGTGACAAACCAGACACTAGTCACAAAGGGAAAAATTCTCATACTAATAGCAAGGAGACAATTCAGCTCGTTTGGTACCATGCTTGTCAACAACGCAGATGACCTTAATTCAAGTCCATAAGTCCTATTAGAGGTCCCACTTATTGAATAACCTTACAGCATTGAAAGCATTGTAAAACTTATACCTTGCTGTACATCCATACGATAACCCTCATTTAGTTCCAGGAAAGAGCAAACCAATAATGAAAGGGAGAGCAAAGAAGTAAGACCGACCGGTGGCACCTTCCAACCGCCCGCCAAAATAAATACAACAACTGCAACAAATCAGGGCCGTTCACAGTACAAAAAGGAGAATAAAACACAAAGATAAGCAGACAAAAAGAAGCAGGGGAAAGGACACTTACCTCCTCTCTCATGAGCCAGATATGCCATTTCTGTGAGAACAGCCAAGGCTCCTTCATAGTCTCCTGAATAGAATCAAACAACAGAAACAAAAACATTTATGACACACTTCAACATTGACTCCTTGTGATGATGTTGTAAAATCAAATCAGCTAAATTCACAAAAATCTAATTCTAGATGTCCTTTCAAAGGCAAATGTCAGAACATAGGGCACATCCTTCTGATATTGGCATGTTTCCAGTGACATTATATCACTATCAGTGATAATTTCCAAACATTGACAGGTCAAACAAAATGAGTATTTTAGATTGACAGTCTATGAAGACACCCATCTTAAATGGGTTAGGTAGTAGGGCGTCAAGTGGGTGTTAATTATTACATAATAATAACACAACATCGACAACTCTTTGCCTGTCAGCGTCCTGAGATATTATCCAACTTACTCGACTCCATCTTGCACTTGGCCACCATGTTTAAAGCATCAAGACAATCCAGTGCACTCTGCAACAAGTTTGTGAGGGAGATGAAGAGAATTCCAAAGGCACAAAAGCAAAAGGGTAACATTTCTCTTAAGTGCAAAATTATTAAGATTGGGTGACCTTATTTAGGCCACATATGGCCTAAATAAGCTAAACCCCCCTCCCTTGCCTTATTTAGGCCACAGTCCACTGTGGCCGAAATAAGCTAAACCCCCCTCCCTTACCTTATTTAGGCCACATCTTATAGTAGATTTCTTGAACTAACCATGGATTCGGAAGGTCGAGATTCTACTGATCTTTTTATTTAGTGCAGGGGATTATTTTAAAATAGAGGATGATACTAAATGAAAAGTGGACCAAGGGTAAGAGTTGTGTGTCTGTGTGTGTGTGTGTGTGAGTGTGTGTGTATGTGTTTGTTTTGTGTGTGGTTGTGGTGAGAGAGATCTAGAGAGAGAGAGTAAATGTAATAGTGTGTTTGTATGTGTGTGTTGTGAAGGAAGGGGGTGGGGGAGGGAAAAATAGTCTACGTGAATGACCGCCGGTCAGTTCTATAAACCACAAGCCGCCACTGTATTTATATGTGTGTGTGTGTGTGTGTGTGTGTGTGTGTGCATTTTATTATGTATACTAAAAGACTGAGCGAAGGCTTACAATGTAAATTCTGTGCTCTACAAGTAGAGAAAATCCTAAGTTTGCGCAAAACAGATTTTAGAAAAAAAGTTGGATCTAATTTCTGTAATAAAAGTAAAAGTGATAGTTATGCTGCGATTTGTTATTATTAACTCTGGAAATACAGTTAGTTGCTGAATCTAAAAATAACTAGAACTGTGCAATTCGTTTTATTTCAATTCCAAAGCCCAAAGGCATAGCAAAAAGTAAGTTAGATCTAGATCTAGCAGTTGTAGGCTCTCTGGCTGCTTCTAGCATAGGCCTGCTACTACTGATTCTAAACAGGGAATCTAGATCTAGCTATCGCCTGCACTATTAAAGTCAAATATATGGTAAAATAAAAACAAAACTGAATTTTTTGTCAGTCAGTACATCCCAATTGCCATAGCCGCATGTATTAATAGTTGAATAATGCGATACCGAAGCAACACATTATCAGTGTGCAGAGGAGAGCGAGGTGCCCGGGTCGCTGACCGGTCGATTCGGTGGTTCGGCTTTTGTAGATCTATGCATTTTTTACGGAAAGCCCTATTACTAGATCTATTAGTGTTGTGAAAACTTCAACCTCTACAGCTCAGGCGTCAAAAGATGCTGGAAAATAATAATACGTCCTGAAGTTTAATAATTTATACAGAATAACACAGTACACAGCCAGTAGTTTTTATTTCATCGAGTTATAAAAATGGCCTTCGTATAAAAATTGCCTTGTTTTCAGAAGCAAATTTTAATAGTTCTAGTTCTACCGAATCGATTTTCACGCGAATTTAACCATTTTGATGATCTTTCTTTTCCAAACAAACCGCTGTAAACCTTAAGATGTAGATCTAGGCCTGTCGGATGTGGCAGTGCGATTAACACTGAGTTGTTTAGATCTAGATCTAGACCCACAAAACACGAGGCTTCGTGGCCGATCACAAAAGTCTACGTCGGGGCTTATCGAGGCCAATTCGCCCTGCCGCGAGCACGTTCACTAAACTGCCTACTAGATAGAATCTACTACCAAAGATTCTCTACACGATCTTTGCTACTACTACTACATGTACTACTACGAGACAGTACGAGAGAGTGTCACTCAGGCAAAGCTAGACCAGTGTAACTTTGACTCAGCCACGTAGTGTACACACTTTTTATACCCCAAATTTACCCCGGAAGTCCATTCGGAGGATTTGACCTTTTCACTTGACCAAAGTGTGCCAAAATGGTAGCCTAGCTTTTGCCCCTCCATGAAGGAAAAATCTGGCCCTCATTCAAACCATTGGGATTGAGCAAAATTGTGCGTATTGTGCTTTGTTCTTTACAATATTCATTATGATTATGATCTATAAGCTGTACACTGAGACAAAACCATACTAAATGAGAAAGGTTCACCATTATGAAAGTGGAACGAACTCAGTTGCCTGAAAACGGTAGTTTGAGCATGTGTGGCCTAAATAAGCTAAACCCCCCTCCCTTACCTTATTTAGGCCACAGTCCACTGTGGCCTAAATAAGCTAAACCCCCCTCCTTACCTTATTTAGGCCATATGTGGCCTAAATAAGCACTCCCATTAAGATTTACTGCTTAAAATAGAAAACATCACAAGGTACCACCCATCGCCAATCAAACACAAGTTTACCTGACTACAACAAGATAACATCAAATCCTGTGAAAAACGAACCTTCGATTCAGATACAGGCAAGAGGTGCATAATTTTTCATATCATCACTTGCGTAAGAAAAAGGCGTAACTCCAAACTTGTTTTAGCTCACTCTGTAATGCATGGTCAAATGGAGTTAAGCATTTTTCTTGCAATAAAATTAACACAAATTTTAATAACAATATATCAGATTTAACAAAAAAGCAAACTGTGACCAGCTCAGACCTTTACACTAGAATCACAGAAAGTAGCACATTGTTTAAAAGGATTTTGATTTGCAAAGCTATGACAAATAAAACATACATCTATATATGCATACAAGTAAGTGCCAAGACATACATTATACACTACAAAAGCACAACATTCACACAAATACAAACATCCCACTTGCACACTCACAAACACATTTAAGCAGACACACATCAACACACACATGCGTACACATATAAACACAAATGTCGCACCTGTGACTGTAGCTCCGCAGCACGCTGAAAGTGGACAATAGCCTCCCCAGGTTTGCTTACTTTCTGGAGAGAAAAAAAAAGAGACATAAGAAATGATGTCCATCACATGACTGAAATCAAAAGCCTACAGCTAGCTGACACCACAAAGGTCATATCTACAGCATCTACTAGCTTCACGAGGCCTATCATGGGAAGGACTTTCAGAACTATCACTGCCTCTTAAAAAAACGTAGTGTTGCAAGAGGTGTTAGACCAATACAGTTTCACACATTTTGCAGAGCTATCACAAGACCAGTGTCGGCCACATAACCAGTATCATCCGGACAGCATTAGCAACACAACTATAGAGCAGTCAAATATTTGTGGCGCAACTTATCCTCAAATATCTCTTTTTCAGGTAGGCCAATGTCACCCATACCTTGCATAGCAGTTGGTGTCATTTTGTCTAAGCTTAATTATATTTTTCCACAACAATAGAGGCTATATTTAAACAATTTTTTTCATTAATTTATATAAAATACTCCGTCACCCGGAAAATGGGATTGTTCACGTCACAGCACTTCCATTTTTTCACACACACTTTGCATGCACATATGGCCTGCTTCACAACTAATCAGTGACCCTTTTTAGTGGCAAAACTTGTTACAAGAAATTAATTCTAAAGTGAACACATTTTTTGCACTAAAGTTTCTCAAAACAAGTGTTCAATAAGCATAATTCGTGATTAGAAAAAAATTGACGGACCTGCTTTTAAAAGTGATATTGCCCCAGCTGTAGACCTTTTAAAATCTGTAGAAACCACCCACTTGTATTTTTTTATTAGCATTTATTAAGGAATCTTCTAGAATATGGCCAACAGAAGTTTTCAAAAATATTGATCTGTTAAGACAAATTGATATATGTCATAGTGCAAAAGCTGGAGAGTCTATGTTCGATAGTTCTGGAATTTTTTACTGCACTATACCATTAGGCAAAAAAACAGTGTAACACTTCTTTCCGAAATTCGTAAGGCCAACATCATCAAACACATCCACTCTCCATAAATGTTATTTCTCCAACCCACTGGGAGAGGTGGGCATCTGTCTAGTACAGCATTATAAAAAATATAATAAATAATAATGTGAGTACATAGACACACATACACATACTGAATACAGGTTAGACCTCATGAAAATCACACAAAAGTTCAGAATCCACAAACATGATACACCTGGAACAGCCCACCATCCGTTGCATGTGGCCACTCACCCTTAGAACATTGCCCACCTCCAGGCACAGTGAAGCAGCCAGGGCAATCTGCTTGTTCTCTATGTGTACCTGCAAGACACATCAGAGACACTATTGTGAACAAACTGACATCACACTATATAACCAAACACAATGATTAGAAGAAAAGTGAAAAGGGATGGGCCGGTAACTATGACTATGTCTATAACTTTCCAAAAACAATCTGAAAGTATACATTAGCCATTCCAGCAACCATTGTTCTAAGTTTGTATGTATATGTATAGTATAGGGTTTTACGGCGCTCGCAACTGCTAAGGTCATATGAGCGCGCCGTTCTAAGATCAGGGTTCCTGCCATGAACTTCCCACCAAATTCAAGGACATTTCAAGGAGGTTTCAAGGAGAAATTTTTTTAATTCAAGGAGATTTGGTCAAGAAATTCATGACAAAAGCCTATTTTCGAAGGTCTACACTTGTCCGAAAAGAATCATATCATAGTTTCGATTTCCCTACAAAAACTGTTCACAGGATGACTGCCAACCCGGCTTCTCAATTTTCCGGTGGGGGGGCCTCATCCATTCTCCAGGGCATGTTACATAACAATGACTGTGCATGCTTCATTTATATATTATTTATTAATATATACACAGAATGGTGCGCACGCACGCATGTAGGTACATTCCAGTCAGCAACATGTCAGTGTGGCACTGGCATACTGTGACTTAGGTATTGCAGTCAGTTCTTACTTATTTATATTTTCCCCTCATCATATTCCCCTATATAAACTATATAAAAATGAATCTTGCTTTGAGCCTGAGAAAAGGCCTAGAACCAGAATATCCACTGTCAAGAACCAGTTTGGGTGTCAAGGTTTATACAATATACCTAAAAGATAAAAATTATTACTCTAACTAAAAATAGAGTAATAACATGAATGTCTCAAGTAGACCTATTCAGTGTGAGAGGTGTAAAAACTGTGGGAGGGCAAGACGCAGTGACACTGAAAATCTGCAAATCTTGAACAGAGAGCTCAAAAATAGAATACAATAAAGTAGTCTCCGCCTAAGATCCCGGTGCTCGGGAGCCAAGAAATGCGGGATCTTAAGCGAACCGGGATCTTAACCAACGAACCCAGGGAAGAATCTATGGTGACCCATGTTAAGGCTCACAATCGGTAAAATGGTCTCCCTCCACTCTAAAATGAACTGATGTGACCCCTTGGTGGGTTTATGACATACGGCGAGCAAAGTGTGGTTAACCTTGATGACCTATCACAGTGCATAGTGGCATGAGGCGTGCCATTTTCACAAATTATCCTATCATGGTTCTCAATATCTACGCTTATCCAGCTGCCCCTCCCCTTTACCTGTA